GGAATCTTCAAGGCCTCCAACCCCAGCTGCTTTAAGTAACTCCAAGAGAGGACCACCAGCTGGACAGCTACAGCAGCTGCTGCGGATTAACAACCACCCTATTCCCCAACGCATGATACCCTTCCCTGACCAGGAGAGGGCAGATCAGTAAGAACTGCAGAACCTCAGGCCTGACCCTGAGTGAGGTCTGCCTCTTGTTCTCAGCGGATTTAAAGAGAGTCGCTCTTCAGCTTCCTTGTTTTTTTCATATACCAAATGCAACACTTAGGAAAGAATTGTTCCAAAGTGCATATGCTAAAGCTTTTACAAACAAAACAAAAAAAGAGTTCAAAACTACTTAACAGCCTCTGCATCGTGAAAATTCTCTCCTCCTCCAATATTTCAGCTAAAGCGGACTCCTCAGATTGACGTGACACTGTTTTTTTCCTGCAAACTACCAGCCATTTCAGTTCAGAGAGGAAGAAGACCACTGTTTGAAACCGTCTGGGAGAGAGGTACATGACGACTCCTGTTTCCAGAGGAATTTTCCTGAAACAACCATCGCTAATCGCTTGTTAAGTTTTGCTCACCTAACGCCTGCTTGGATTCCAAGTATGGAAAAACAGGGCAGTCACATCTATCTTAGAACTGCACTGGACATGAGCTTTTATTTACTGGATGGTGAAAAGGAAAATGGAGAAAAGGTAAAACTTCTGCTCAGAGTTGCCTGAGTCCAAAGTCTCCATCTTTCGTTTCCTGGCAGTACCTGATATTCGTAAAACAAGCTTTCAAACATGGAGGCTATGTTCAGCCGTTACTTCTAACAGTACCTAAGAGACTTATCCTGCAACCCTATGTATTTCTTTTTTTAAAAAACATCAGTGAAAAACCACATGACCATTATTGGCTGCCGCACCAAGAGTCACTAGTCTTGAAACGGGAGGCCAATAACATTTCACAGGCAAGTTTCAATAGTCCTGCCTATGCCAAGGCCCTTTCTTCCATAACGAGCAAGACCACTCCTGAACCACTCTGCTTCAAAAATCAAATCCTTTATTCCTGCATAAAAAAAACCCATGTTCAAAGAAAAGGTTCCCAGCTGCATGGAAGGCTTCTCGGCCTCCTGACATAACCCAAGTTAAGCAACGGAGATCGTTCCTGTACCCAGTCAAAACTACTACCTGTAGTGACCCTAAAATAGAAGGCCACTCGCTTCAGTGTTTCTAGAGGCCAGAATATCCAGAGTAAAGAGTTTAGGTGCTTGTTTCAGAAGCTGTGTCTTTTAAATGGTTACAATCCATCCAAGGCAAGGGGAAGGGCAGGAGTTCCGCTCCAATTCTGCAAAGGTAATTTCATTACCTCCAATGTCCAAACGACACTGATCCAGATTACATTCTCCCAGATCATGTTAACTACATTCCAGCCAATTTTTCCAATCACACATTTTGTTTTTTAAGATGCCTGCTATATTCTACATATGCCCGTCTCCCATTAAGGATGTCTACATCCACGGCCTGACAGGTACGGCCCACGGCAAGCACCCACCACTTTGGCTTGATAGGACCATTTGCAAAGAGGAGGCACCGCACAGAGAGCCACGAGGGAAAGGGTGACTTCATTTCAGGAGCCCCCTTTCCCACTCATTTAATAGCTGTTACCATCATGTTTAGCTTCTGCTCCTCCTCCTGCAGATGGGAATTCACTGATATGATTAAATTTGATGGTATGATAATGTATGGTAATAGTGATTAATCAGAAGCCCACCAGCAAATGGAGGATGTTTGTTATTATGTCACCTGCATTTTAAATTGCATTTCTCCTCTGCCAGACTGACGCTATTTGACAGCGGGAGGGGGAGGGGGAGAGCGGGAGGATCTCACACCGCATCTGTTTTGCTACCACTTATGGATCTGATAAGAGAAAAATGCTCGTCGCTCCGTCACTATTGTAAGCACTGTAATTATAGAGCTACATCGACAAGTCGCAAAAAACCCCACTATGCGCTCACGAGGAAAGCTTGCTGGAGGCACTGAGGAAGCTCAGTTGCACATCTGCAGGAGCCATAATAGGAGAGAAATGTAATTTGATTCAGCAGTCTCATTCAAACATGATTTGCATGAAATGCCATATAAAAGCTCTATCCAAGAAATGTCAGTCATGACCACCTGATACCTTGTATCACGCTAGAAAACAAAACAAAATGCTCTCCCTCGTACATGGGATTTGCCTCTGCTGCTGCTACACAGTAATAGAGTGAAAATTTCATTTACTGTTACGCCATAACAAAGGCAGAATCAGAGCTGTAATTTGGTTGGCTTTTTAAAATGTCTTACACCTAAACAAACAGTGTTACAAGGGGGCAATCAGCTGTCTCTCAAAACCAGCAATCACAAGACACTTAGAACCAGAAAGGATGTGCCATAAAGATCTATTTGCACATGTTTTAGATGTACTCTTAAGTATAACCTAAAAAATGTGAAATACAAGCAGGACATACACCCTTGCTCTGGTAGCTAGTTAGCTACAGAGCCAAGGACAGGCTACAGTTCTCCGGTTTCTTGTCCATAAGAATATTTGAAAGAGTTAAGTCTATCTCTGCCAAGTACTAGAATCAGAACTTCCCAGAATTGTGGTTTTCAAGAGTATACAGTGTGATCTCAACAAACGACTTTTCTCTTTCTTCCTTGGCACATGCTAGTCAGATTAGATGAGGTCAACAAATTATTTGCTTTTATTTTGTGGTCTCCTGAAAGCGTTGCATGACATTCCACACAACGGAGGTTCATTTCTGCTTTTTAATATTTACAATACTATATAAATAAGCATTTCCCACAATATAACAGAAGAGTATGAATTTAGAAATTCAATGCAAAAATGGGGGGAGGGTCTACAGTCAGGTACACAATCAGAATCAGGTATACAATCGACAATTGTACACAGCTTTCTCTGACTGCAATGTCTTGGTTTTCTAAAATTCAGTAGCCTGGCGGGATAAAAACTGAAGAAAATAAGTAAGAAGGATACTACTGTTTTGCCACCTCCATCAATATCTATAACTAGACTGCCATACAGCATACACAAGACAAATCTGTATGCACGGAGCAATTTGCAATTGGAGCTTGAGAGAGACAGTGGAAGTGGGACTTGTTCTACCTTCTCCAAAGACAGGTTAACACATGGTTGGTCATTTTCCCATCTCATCCAAAATTGGGTGACCATGGCTACACACAGGACTTCCCTACCTCCCCCCCACCCCCCAAGCAACTTTATTCTGGCTCAAGTTGCTCTGCCTAATTATCAAAAAAGGTATGGTGGGCTTGCCCTGAACTAGATGGCCCCAGCTACTCTGATATTGTCAGATCTCAGAAGCTATGCAGGATCAGCCCTGATTAGTAGTTGGATGGGAGACCAGTGAGGAAGTCCAGGGTCACAACATGCAGGCAGGTGATGATAAACCACCTCTGATCATCTCTTGCCTTGAAACCCCCATGGGGGTCATCACCATAAGTCAGCTGCAAGTTGATGGAACTTGCAACCACCTCCACGATGGGTTCATTCTGCTCAGTTTTGCTTGAAAGGGATTGAATGTTTCTGTTCTTATTAGATTAGGACTTCATGTGCACTGCATGAAGGCAGAAGACCACTATCAAGTGGCCATTTCAGGGGACTTTTTAGGAAGCACTTTCTTCCTCAGCTGCCCCCCACTTGCCCGCCATAACCTAAACTCACACACCTGGACCCTAACTAATGGTTAGGCCAACTCATTCATCTGGCCATGGGCAAGCCAGATAGTCTGGGGTCCCAGACTAATGTAACACAGTCCAGGCATCATTAGTTCCCAGTATAGTTAACATTCAGTATTTAGTGAAAGATGGTCATAACGTGTTCCATTCTTTTAATAAATCTTGGCGTCTGGGTAATGGAGGTACTCTTTCAGACAGGAATTTGTTAACAAAATACTCTTTATTTTAAAAGGAAATCTGTTTTATGGAAGCGGGGAATATCTCTGGTTAAAACAAAGGCTTGAGAGCACACTCTACTAAGATCTTTCATCACAAAAATAAAGAGCTGGCAATGCTATCAAGACGCCCATAGGTTTCAAGGCATTTTTAGTATGTTTTAATATAAATTCTGCAATCATTACTGCGGCTATCAGTAATCCCTCAGAGAAAATGCAGGCACAGCCATTGATTAGATAGGCATCTTTAAATGAGAAATAATCCTCCTATTGTAAGAATATGGAAATCACAATTCTACTCCTGTATTTTTGAGAGGCACATTTCCTACTTCCAACTAATTTTTGTATCTACTGTCAAGTACAAAGAGTAATTCTGTATATGCAAACAATCGTCATGGTTGCTTCAGCAATTGTTCTGGAGTTAAATTTTCAATACTCATATAATTAAAGGAAATGCATGAGGAAAACGAAGGTGATGATATGGTCCAAACGTGTCCACTACATATATGGATGCTCAGTGTGAAGAAATTCTTAAGACTGAAAAAGGGTTAAATTTACATACTGCAAGAATATGAATGGCAAGCAGATTGTGCGCACTCAATGCCATTCGAAGAACTAATCAATCAAGGCTGGTGGATTAGCTAAGAGAAAGAGCTGGTTAGTGTGTTTCAAAAGCCAAAGATAAGGAAGAAGAGGAGGGTCAGTCAATGCCAGATCAACCGCTGATATTAAATGCTTAAAATAACCCAGCATGGTGCTTTTTTTATTAAATACGCAATTTTCCTATTTATATGGAGAGGACTGTGATAGAAAGGTGCGTTTTTAACTCCCCACTGGACAGACTGGTTCAACAATTTTACAATTAAGCAAAATTAATTCTGCTCTCAAAAATTCATCGACCTTAAGCTTTTAACAAACAATTTTCAGCCGCACAGATCACTGTCAATATTTACAAATCCTTAAAAATTGTATTTCACTGGCCCTGCTTGTATTTGCCATATTAATATTTCCTCGCAAATGTATGCTCATCCATATCACAGAAGAAGAAACAGCTGCTACTCACGGGAAATCTCTGGGGTCCGACGGCAGGTCTTGGCTGGGTTGGGACTGGCAGCAAGGGCACTGAAAACAAGGATCGCACCTTTGAAATCAATTTGTCTTAGCCAAGACTCCGTGCCATTTTTATCAGCCATCACACTCCCAGGCAGCTGCCTCCCCCCAATCCCACAAATAGCTGCAGGCAGTCAGAACCAGTTAGTGGCATGCAACAGGGCAATCAGGAGCCGAATGGCATCGGCTACAAAAACGTATAAGCCTCGTTTTCTGTAGAACTGGGAGATCTCTGTGCAATTTAGATTTTTTTTTCTAAAGGCAGCTCGCCACTTTGGCTCAAGCACCAGCACCACTCAAAACTGGACTAAATCTCCAAGCACATTACATCAGACACATGCCTGTACTCCATCCCTGTCCCCCTCCCACCCACCCCACCCCCCAAAGTCAACAGCAACACCACAGTAAGTCAGCCCAACTGTGCCATCTTTTTCGAAGTTTTGCAGATTTTGTTCTGCTTCCTACAATAGGGTTTTCAAACAATTTGGATTGTTTCAGGAAGCTCCGGAACAAAGGAAGTTGTGATGTGGGCCTTCTGGAAATATAAGAACCAAACACTGGGGAGGGGGGGGGGAATCTAATGCCCTAAACAGAGTGTAATTTTCTTTAGCATGTTTATTTTGACTTACCCTTTAGTAAGCTAATTTAAGAAGCCCTTCATGCTAATTTTATGTCCCAATAATACCTGAACTGAAATATTTATGGAAAAAATGGAAGGCTGGGCATTATTTGGGGAGAAGTAGTAACTGAAAAATTAAGGATACAGAGTGTGGGTTCCTTATATTCTTCAAATTTAAGTAAAAACAAAGAAGGCATTGAAAACTGTTGACACATTAATTTTAGCACGCATAAAGAATTCTGTGCGATTTGCCCTGGACATGATTGTCCACTCATCTGTTTTAACCAAAGTCAGCCCTCACCCACTGAGGTCACTTGGACATATCAGAGTGCCAATTACAATATCCCTTCTACCATGCGGTGGCTCAAGTGGTTAAGACGCTGAACTGCAGACCGGAAGGTTGGTAGTTCAGCAGTTTGAGACCCGAGTGCCACATGACGGAGTGAGCTCCTGTCTCTGATCCCAGCTCCTGCCAACCTAGCAGTTCGAAAGCAAGAAATTACAAGTAGATCAATAGGTACCGCTTCAGTGGGAAAGTAACAGTGTTCCGTGCACCTCGGCGTCTAGTCATGCTGGCCACATGACCACGGAAATGTCTTTGGACAGCGCTGGCTCTTCAGCTTGGGAACGGAGATGAGCACTGCAACCCTAGAGTCGGATTCAACTGGCTTTCAAGCAAGGGAAACCTTTACCTTTACCTCTACCATGTACGAGGAGACAACTAAAATAATAATTTCAGCTTTGGTTTTGATCTGACCTCTGGCCAATCTGGTGAATTTATAACTTGATTTCTTATTTGGATTGTTATATGTATTTGCACTGTAACTGGCCCCTCTCCAGTTAATGTGCTACAGAAAGTTTTCTGTCCCACATTACTGGAGGAAAGGGTGTAAAGATTGATGACAGGGAGCACATGATACAAGGCCACTGAATGAGCATGTTCTAAGTTCAACATACATATAAACTGGTATTGCTGCCTCTCATCTGAATTGTAAAAGGAACGTTGGTTTGCACAAAAATGTTTATGATCAAAGGCAAAGCAAAGCTGTGTAAAAAGGATGCTGAATATAGCAAAAGCTAATATATAAATAAAGAAAAACAAATATTACATGATGCATACAAAAATGCAAATATTACATAGCACATAGGTTGCAGTCAAGTATTAAGCAATTACAGATAAGTCAGGTGTATAACCAATTAATAAGTCAATTAAAAATAGCACATAAGCTGCAATAAAGCAATTGTAGATGAGTCAAATGTAGGTCAGATTATTGAAGTCAGTAGAAAACGAAGGTTCCGGATATTAATAACTTTGTTTCAAAAATCTTCATCATTAATAAGTATTACAATTTTCCACAAACAAAGCTGGGATATAGACATTTCAGAAAAACATCCCTTAAGAAAATATACACATTCTACAAATGGGCAACCAGTCACAACTTTACAAGCTTCAGAAGGAAATAATACCAAGGATTCTATCTGCTGGTATTGCCTCGAATATTTATATATTAACTTTTGCTATATTCAGCATCCTTTTTACACAGCTTTGCTTTGCCTTTGAGGTTTTGCTGTGTGATCGCTTATTGTTTACAAAGATATGCACAGAAGCTACAAAGGCCGTAGTCCCCAAGGCTGTGCACACCAGGTACAGAAGTCTTCTGACTTTCCTTTAGTGATTTCTTTTGCTCCTTACTCCCACTCACACACCTGTCTCTACAGAAATTAAGGCAGGGAGAGAACAGTACAAACATGAAAATGGCTCCTAGACTGCAACTATAAACGGGGAGGGGATAACACAAGACAAAAGGCATATGGTGGTATCTCACATTGCCAGTCTAAGGGCAAACTACAGCTGGTCCAAACTGTAGTAACCAGATTGTTACCCGATGCTATACAAGTGATCTATCACATCTAACGTACTCCATTGGCTAGCCACTTGTGTCATGACTGGTGTGCTGGTATTGGCTGGTATGAAGTGCTGGTATTGGCCTCTGCATATGAACTGGCCTGAACAGTAAGACCTGCCTTCAATGCCCTGTCCATGTGCCACTTCTAGCAACAATTCTGCAGGATGACCACACAGTGCCAAGAGCAGTGCCAAGATTACCAAATTCCTTCCCCAGGAAGTCCATCTTGCACTGTATTTCATTCTTTTTAGGAGGACTCCTCATATTTATTTAACTAATGCCCCAACATTTGCTCCCCAACTGGGACTCAGAGAGGCCTAAAGTCACTCTCCTCCATTTTATTCTCACAACTACCATGGAAAACAGATTAGACAGCGTGACCGGCACAAGGTCACCCAGCAAGTTTCCATGGCAGAGAGAGGATTCAAACCTGGGTCTCCGGGACTCAAGCCCGACACTTTACTACCCCCCACTGGCTGGCTGTAGCTGTGGTCTTGTCCTACCCTGGTCCTACTGCTACTGGATTAGCATGTCCGCTTGCTGCCCTTAAGACTTTTTTTTAGAGGTTCATTCAATGGTGAGACCTCATTTGGAATACTGTGTGCAGTTCTGGTCACCACACCTTAAAAAGGATATTATAGCTTTGGAAAAAGTGCAGAAAAGAGCAACTCGAATGATAAAAGGGTTGGAACACTTTCCCTATGAGGAACGGTTAAGGCGCTTAGGGCTCTTTAGCTTGGAGAAACGACGACTGAGGGGTGACATGATTGAGGTTTATAAGATTATGCATGGGAAAGAGCAGGTAGAGAAAGAGGTACTTTTCTCCCTTTCTCACAATACAAGAACCCGTGGGCACTCCATGAAATTGCTGAGCGGTCGGGTTAGAACGGATAAGAGGAAGTACTTCTTCACCCAAAGAGTGATTAACACTTGGAATTCACTGCCACAGGAAGTGGTGGCGGCTACAAGCATGGACGGCTTCAAGAGGGAATTAGATAAGCATATGGAGCAGAGGTCCATCAGTGGCTATTAGCCACAAGGTATAGATAGGGACTCTGGGGCAAGTGATGCTCTGTCATCTTGGTGCTTGGGGGGGGTCAACAGTGGGAGGGCTTCTAATGTCCTGGCCCCACTGGTGGACCTCCTGATGGCACTGGTATTTCTGGCCACTGTGGGATACAGAGTGTTGGACTGGATGGGCCTTTGGCCTGATCCAACATTGGCATCTCTTATGTTCTTATGTTCTTCCCCAGGCAGTCCATCTTGCACTGTATTTCATTCTTTTTAGAAGGACTCCTCATATTTATTTCACTAATGCCCCAACATTTGCTCCCCAATTGGGACTCAAAGAGGCCTAACGTCACTCTCTTCCATTTTATTCTCACAACTACCATGGAAAACAGATTAGACAGCGTGACCGGCACAAGGTCACCCAGCAAGTTTCCATGGCAGAGAGAGGATTCGAACCTGGGTCTCCGGGACTCAAGCCCAACACTTTAACTACTACCTCCCACTGGCTGGCTGTAGCTGTGGTCTTGTCCTACCCTGGTCCTACTGCTACTGGATTAGCATGTCTGCTTTCTGCCCTTAAGACTTTTTTTTAGAGGTTCATTTTTTATCATTGGGTCTTTGGTGATTTCATTGTTTCAAAGAATTGCTCCTTCTCCGTTAACTACCTCGGGAGCTGTTATTAGCTAAATGACCAGAGACTGGCATTTCCAAACAAATAAAATGCATCGGTCCTCCAGATAAAAATCTCACCTTGTACAGGAGTTACTACATTCCCTTTGAAGTGTGGGTTAATATGTATGTTCTTTGGCTGCTGAGAGGTCACTGGAGGAGGAGTCATCAGTATCCTTGGTGTTTCTAGCTGCGGTGGCATATGGATCCCTTGAGGGGGAGGTGGGGGCGTGTGATGCTGAGGGGGAATCGGCAGCAGGCCCTGCAATGGTGGCGGCTGCTGCTGCTGCTGCTGGAACAGGTTCCTAATGGGCTGCTGATGCGGAAACATCCTTTGTGAGTGGGACTGAAATGACAAAGGAAAAACAAACAAACATCACTGCTTGGAATCCTGTTACCTTGGTGTTTAAAAACAACAACAACCACCCGCGTGCCACAAAAAGAACATAGGAGACTTCATGAGACGTTTTCCAAGTTTACAGTTCCATAGGAGATTTTATAAATTCACTGAAGATAGCTCTATCAACAGCGAGTGGAAACTCCACATCGAGAGGCGGTATTGCTCCAAATTCCAGCTGTGGCAGCAAAAGCAGGAGACCGCTTTTTGTAAGATTTTCATGCTGCTTAACTGCTGTTGGAAATAAATTGCTGGACCAGATTGGACTTCTGGCTAATCCAGCATGGTACTTGTTTACATAATGTCATGCAGATGCTGTCCCCCAAGACACTTTGAACCAGTGTTCCCTCTAAGCTGTGCATGTGAGCGGCGACTCATTAACACAGGAAGCCCTGCTCAGCAGCAATCTGGAGCCATGCAGGGTCTTGCATTGCCCATTGCCCATGTGAAGACTACAGCAGTTATATTCTGCTGGGGGGGGGGGGATGAGAGTGAACATTGTCAGAACATCCCTAAACGGCATATTCTTTACCCAAACAGATTACATGAGGAACTAGCACCTACCACTGACAGTCAGTTTGATCCAGATAGTCAAACACATGTGCCATCTGGGCTGAAGTGAAAACCTGAGCCACTAGGAATTTCTTCCCCCTTTACGGCAACCTTCCACATCACACAGCAAGCCTTGCTGGAAGCTCTTAAAAGCACTTTCTTGGTCTCTCCAGATCTGTAGCCTACTTTCCCCAGGGCTCAAGGCGGTGCTGCAGCTCTCAGCAGCCTCAGGATGAGACTAGGGGGGGTACACGTGCTATTTTATGCATTCCACTGGCAACAGTGGCTTGGCTTAGGTATATGCAAAAAAATCCCTTTGGCCAAACTATTCGGCTCATTGTTTAGAAGCAGATGGACACGAGCGGGCACAGGATTCTGCTTTGACCAGCATGGCATTAAAGGTACCGTAACAGTTGTTTGGGTTGCCAGCAGCGCCGGCCGGTGGTCCTTCAGCCTGCCCCGTTCATGGTCTCTCCTTTGTTCTCCCATTCCACGACACATTAAAGGCCCTCCTCGCCTTCCTCCTCTTCTTGAGCCGTAGCGCCCCTGTTTGAGCTGCCGTTCCCTCTCTTCGAATTCAAATAATGCTGCTTTGGCTTCTGCGGAAAGTTCTATTGTACGAGAGAAACGGGCACCATTGGTGTTTGCCAGAAGGATTAGAACAGCAATCAACTGATAACATTTTGACGGTTGCCACGATAGAATTACACGGGCCCCTTTGATAATATGGTATGCACCCCAAGACGACTGAGGAACGTTTAATTCACGTAATCATTTCCTGATATCCTTTTAATTTGCAAATGCATGCTTGCATTTGGCGAGAACACATTTTTTTGTTCTTTCAAAACTAATTCTCCTCCCTGTGTCAAGTTACTGAATGTGAAAAGAGACTGTCTTCCCCCCTCCCACCCCCTAAATTTAACTAAGTTTGGCTTTTGGAAGATAAGCATTTCTATAGTAGTTAGGGTTTCAAGATGTATATTTAAAACTCTTTGCATTAAATTCCCTGTGTGTCTCAACCTCATTATGACAACTCATGTACATTGAGAACATATGGCTACTAATGGGAAAAACTCACTAGCTGCCTAGAACAGGAGGCTGATCCCATCACCATTCTCAGTGTCTGGCCACATATCAACCTCTGTTTTTTTAATTTAGATTTCATTCCTTGCTTTCCCTTCTAGTTTAAGTAAAGCTCAAGAAATTCATGGAGAAATGTCCATTTATTTTTATTCTAATTTCAAACAAAGAGCACAGAATGGCAGAATACTTCATAAATGAAGACATATTTTTAAATAAAATTACTGAAGTATGCTACTAATTCTAGCTTCTCTTCAGAACACTCAAACAGCTCTGTGTACCACCTGTAGCAAAATTATTTATTTATTTGATTTATATACCGCCCTCCCCAGACGGGCTCAGGGCGGTTGTACAGCAAAAACCTCCAAGGGAAAGGAATTCAACATGAAAACACATTGGTGGTTCTTTGACAGAAGCAAGGAAATGGATCCTCAATCCCTCCTACTGTAGTGATATTAAAGGTCAAAAGCCCTTCAAACATTGGATATGAAGTTCTACAGATACCACAGTATCACAGTCTTACTTTTGCCCAGAGAAGCACCTACGGTTTTACCCCAATGGCAGAAGATCTTGTGAGCTTTTGCAATTATCTTCGGTCATTATAGCCCACTGATCTCCAACATGGTGCCCTCCAGTATTTTTCTTGGCACCCAACTGCTTGTCACCAGACAGCATGTTTCCCTCAAAGCACAGACCCAGTCCTGCCTCCAACAGTGACTCTGATTCGCCCTGCTCTCGCGACAGCCATTTTGTGGCAGCACCCACTCCCTACCTCAACATTCCAAAAGTGCCCACAGAATCAACGAGATTTGGGGGGGGGGGTGGAATCTCTGTAGTTTCATTACATAGCAGACCACGTGTTTTCTGTTTTTGTTTCACTTTCGATTAAAGCAGTAAACTGAGAAGTAAACCCTGGGCAGCACTAATAGCTTCTGAACTGCCCCCTCCACTGTCCCTGGCCTCAGCACTACGGGTTGGTTCCCACTGGCTTTTCTACTTGTGAAAGAAGGGGGCGGGACCCCTTTACAGAACAGAAAAGGCCATTACAAGGACTGTGGGACTTGTGTGGACAAAGGCCTTGTGGGATGAGAGATGCAGAGCAGAGGAAGAGGTCAAGCTCCAGCGGAAAAGCCAACAGCCATTCAACCCTTTGTCCTTTTTTCTTTTTGCAAGGAAAATTCATACTTTAAATGCAATTGGACAAAACTGAAAATCTTACTAAGCAAACATTACCTTGAGGTTTAGCTAGGGTTGCCAGCGTCCAGGTGGGGCCTGGAGATCTCCTGCTTTTACACCGGATCTCCAGCTGACAGAGATCAGCTCCCCTGGAGAAAATGGCTGCTTTGAAGGGTGGGATCTAGGGCGCTGTACCCTGCTGAGGCCCCTCCCCTCCCCAAACCCCGCCCTCTCCTGGCTCCACCCCCCAAAGTCTCCAGGTATTTTCCAACTCAGACCTGGCAACCCTAGGTTTAGTCAAAAAAAAATTCCTCACTGTGTTCTGAAAGGGGCTGGCCATCACGTCTACAGGGCTAACTGCTTGATGAGGCCTTTATTTTATCAAGAACTGGGGAAAGCTGGTACTAACCACTGTGCTGTCCAAAACTACTTCCCCCCCACTCCCTTGCTGAGGATGTTCTGTTACTGTTTCCTTTTGTACATTTCAGCTTGAGAACCAGGACGCAGCTTGGAAAAAGGCAGCACAAAATGTTCCCACAGAAACTGTTGGCTTCCTTAGCACTGGGAGAGGCACACTAGGCACATAAACTCAGACCGACCCAAATTGTGGAGGTAGATCCTGCTTGAAACGGCCGACGTGCCTCAAGAGGGCTCAGACCTCTCCTCGGCCTTGCTGTGTTCCCTTCCCGCATCCCCCCTTCCTCACATGCTGTTCTCGCAGCCAAACTCACTTCCTTCGCTTCACCACCGCGCTGCCATCTTTGGAAATGCGAACTGGCCTTGAGAATGGAGAATGGACAGAGTGCAGACCGATCAAGAAGAGACGGTAGAACCTCTGGAACACTGCACTGGAGTCCCCGTCTTGGATGATATATTGTTGTGAGCACCGATTTCAAAATGTAAAATGTAATTGATTGTATTATCTGGTTTTAGTGTTATGTATGGCAATTGCCTCTTGTTAGCCGCCCTGAGCCTCGGGAGATAAGTCAAATAAATAAATAAATATCAGATCGTATACAGAGCACAACAATGGGGGGGGGGGGACAGCAAGATAACAGGCAACAAGCATGTACTACAGGAATCCACAACATGGGGCCTATAGGCACCATGGTGCCCTGCTGACACCTTTCCTGGCCTACGCCAAGTATTTCGAGAAAGTGGGCAGGGCCAGGTGGGGGTTTTGCCCAGCAGGACTTCTGACTGGCTGTAGAGATTTCAAAAAGATGCTGCCACAACACAAGGATCTTCTCTGCGTGACTGAAGCATCACCTCCTGCGGCAGCCATTTTGTGGCTGGACCCACCATCCAAAGGGGGCCGTAGTCTCAAAAGGGTCGGGGGGGCCCTGATGTAGCAGCATTGCCGTTTCCATGATAAAATAAGATTCTGTCCCGCCTTTCTACACAGTTGGGATAAACTCAGTTTAAATGGATTTATCTGACATTGTCACATCTAGTTTACAGTCATTCTTGGATTTTTTTTCCACCTCACCCCAAGGAATGAGTACCAAACTCGGGAAAATAGGGAACAGGAGATGGGGCCGATCTAAGAAGTTGCCCTTAAGGGCCACACAGAGCTTCAGAACCACCCTTGCCTCTTCCTGCAAAAACGCCTCTGCAACCGTTTCTATATTCATGCTGCCCACAAACTCCTGTGGAATCCGGGCAGCTGAAAGCAGCACACATTCGCTAGCAGGGAAGCAGTCCCTCGCTCCAATGCAATTATGGGGGAGGGGGCATAAACCAGGACTAGAAAAAGGCAAGGCAACCTAGGTGCCGATGAGTGTTATCGCACAATGCTAATGTACTAGCCAACCATTCGCAGATCCGGCCCAGGACAGAATTCTCCCTTTCCTGTCCTGACACCTACATAAGGTAAGTGAGATGGAGAGTGACTGGCCCAATGTCACCCAGTGAGCTTCATAGCAGACTGGGCTTCCCAGTCTAACACTAAGCAGTACACCACACTGGCTCTCCTTTGGGGGTTCCCATTTGTCTCAAATTATCCTCCTAACTCTGTCATTGGACCAAAGTACAGCAATTTGCCCAAGGCTACTCATTACTCATACCCTAAATGTCCTGTGTACTTCACGGAGCACACAAGTTTTTACACGGTCACCCATGAAACCATGAATACACTTTGGTGGTAGAGATTCTGTTGTCACTGTGTAAAATCCCTTTTGAAAAGATCTTGCAGCCAGTGTTCCCTCTAAGCTGAGTTAGTGTGAGCTAGCTCACAGCTTTTTAGCCTCCGGCCCACACATCTTTGCCTTAGCTCAGGAAGGATGGCGCCAGAGCAAACTAATTCATGCAGTAGCCAAATCGCTCGCTCACCCCTTTAATACCAGTAGCTCACAAAGTAGAATTTTCGCTCACACGACTCCACAGCTTAGAGGGAACATTGCTTGCAGCCCCTTTTAAATACTCTCAGATGTTATTTGGCTTCTTCTGGGAGGCTATTCCAGCTATTACTGCAAAGGTAGGCCGCTCTGGCCCCAACTCACCCCCCATTTTATACTTGAGGCTCTGTAGTCTACCTCATCTAAAACCCTCCCAGGACAAGAGAGTTCCCTTTCTCTTTGCAAAGGCAGGAGATGCCTCCACTCCATTCATGGGGAAAAATATTTAACATATTTTTGCCAGCACAGACGCAGCCTTGGCCGCAGGATTCTTTCACACAGCTAATGCAGTGAATCAGCAATTATTTTTCTAGTGCCTCCAAGTGTCAAGATTAATTTTGCCACCCTTGGTAATAAAATGGTTTCAAACGACATCTTTAATCAGCAAGTAAGAATGCTCTCCTCCAATAGAGACAAGCTGTCACAAAAGGTCACCAAAAAGTGACAGGAGGGAAATTACGTTTGTAATTTCAACTGAAATATTAATTTCTCTTTTTAAGTGTTTTCTCAACTTATGCCTAGATTTTTAAAGTAAGGGAACGTGGCTATACAACCGAGTTTCATTTTATACCATTATTCCTATTAAGAGCAATCAGTCCTGAGAAAAAGTAATATTTGTTATGCCACTTCTGCTACATACTTTACTCTTATTAAGTTGACTCCTAATAGACACCAATTATTGCAGATTTTGAGGGGCTCAGGGTGACAATGGTTTATCAAAGAAAAACTTGGCTGTAAATCGCACAATTAAATAGAAGACTTAAAAATACTGCATTTAAAATTCTTTGCAAAATGTAGCAACCATAGCATACATACCAATTAAGTGCCTTTAGCTTACACGTCTAAATATGCTACAGAATTTTTCAAAGTAGACTCCACATGAACCAGACTAGATGGAGCCACTGTTTTGTCACAATAGCTGCTCTAGTTTATTAGGAAGTTTCTATGCTCCCTCTCCAAAGAACCTGCTTGAAGTCGCTTACTAAGTAAAATGTAATAAAAACATAAAATGCCCTGAAAGTAAACTGTATGCAAAAACAGCATGAAACACCCAGCATTAAAAACAGCATAACACATTGAGCGGTCTAAAGTGAGCCTCACAACAGTTCAGACCAGAAGCCTGAAAAGTTATGAGAAAAGATCAATCCCTTAATTAAAATTACAGAACCTCCCCAGATAAAGGGACTCTTACAATGGGAATAGGTACAGACAGCTAACATGCATCGGTAATGTGCATAAACCTCTGTAACCCTGAACGCTTCTAGCTTAGCAGAACTCTGGATAGCATTCCCCAGATGTTCCATTATCTGAATAAGGAGTGTGGATGAATTGCCTTACAGTTCAAAAAAGCCAGCAAAAAAGAGTGGATAACGGCTACACAATCCCAGGCAACTAGTGTCAATGAAGCCTAGAAATCTGACATCATTATTCAGCCTAGTGCAGAGATGGCATATAAAAATGTAATGCTGGTCTACAAATCAAACTGTTGCCAATCCCTGGCTTCAATATCCACTCTGTTCTCTGCCTTGCATACTAAAATATCCCAACAGAGCTCCTGCACATGCCGCTTCTCTGCAAAAGCACAGCTTCAAATGAGAATCAAACAAGGACAGGTCATAAGAGCTTAAAGAAAGGCTTAGTGGATCAGAAACCAACAGGCAGTGCCCTCCTGTATTGGAAACACAAAGTGAAATAAACGTGTGCTTTCACCATAGAGAGTGCAAATGCTCCTACACTGTATGACAAATGGGTCATATGTGACGTGCCCGACAGACATTTCTAGCCTACAAAGTCAACCCACGAAGTGCTGTTGGATTACTTCATTTATTTACGATATCCAGCTACAGTTCTGTCAGAGCAGTTTATAAAGCAACAGGGAGGCATAAGAGATCTCCTTCCACCGGTCTGCCTGGCCAACTTTCACCTGGCTCCACTTTGCAGGAAAGGCAAGGGGATACAAGGACACCCCCCCCCCCACTTCCACTAATTTGCATTTGTCAGCTGCTTTGAGTTTGATTAAGGCAGGATATAAACGTAACAAATAGCTCAAACTACTAATCCTCCTAGAAACAGATGTATAAAAATCAAAAAGTAATAGCACAGTCACCAAAAAAATAATAATGGTTAAAGACCTGTTACAATAAAAGTGCCTTTAACAACTTTCAAAAAAAACAGCTAGAGCAGATGACAAGACTTCCTAGGGAGAGGCATTTTAATGTTCTGGAGACACCACAGAGAAGACCAGGATCCTACTGCATGTTAGCATCCCAAAATGACAGAACAGTGCATCAATGGCAGGTCTCAAAGCTTCTGGGTGGGAGTGGGAATCAAATGAGAGAAAGCACACTCTGAAAATATGACAACTCAGACCACTGAGGTCTTTAAAGGTAAAACTGGAACCTTCACTTGGGCACAGGGCAAGAGTGATACCTAAAGTAGGTGCTTTAAAAATAGGTGCAATATACTTTCATCATCTATGCATGTCAATAACTTGGAGCTGCAGCATTCCATACCAAGTGACATGCCCAGGCTGTTTTATAGGAGCCAGTTCCATGAAGAGGGCATTAAAGCAGCCTAAAGCTGGCAGTCACCAAGATATGAATGAAAACAGAGAGGTCACAAATAGAGCAGGTGTTTCAATCCCAAGTTTGTAAAAGACACTCTGGGTCACAGCCATTACTTGTGCAAGAGCTAGATCTTCCAGAGAGTGTGTGGTCCTGTCCAGGAAAAGTGGTTGAAGCCCCCAACTGACATCAACTCTATGCCGCCTGAACTGAGCATATCCTTAACACCATTATGCGGTACAACTGTTCGGGGAAGCGGCCACCACATATCTGATGAGACAGAGAAACAGATATATACAGCCATTATCAGGTGAGCACACACACGCCCTCATGTTAAGTGGACGCGGGGCCAACTGAAGGGCCATGTCTCAGTGTGGGCGAAAAGCAGAATATAAATGTTTAAAGATACCTGAATGTATCATTTTAAACATATAACACATTAGGATTACAATCCACTCAACTATATAGAAGTCTGTGGGCAAACCAGAAGCCTCCTAGAGGTCTGTCATTCACGAAACTCCAAATCATTCCCTTCTTCTAATGTATGCAACTTTTGAATCAGATTTTTGCATAAGATTTCAGAGAGCAACGTGCCTCACCCACGGCTGGGTTAACTTAAAACAAGATGCAGCCCTGAAGCTGCCGCACCCTGGGATAGATCGGCTCCCAGCGCAAATTCTGTTTGCCAACTCTACAATGCCTTTGGTATTGATCTTGATGCTGAGAATTTTTCAGAAGGACGCTTGTTTGCATGTACTCCCTCAAGATGACACGCTGGGACTGTAAATAATTCATTAGTGATCCTGCCGGTTCCACCTCACTATGATGACAACGTGAATCTTAGATTTCTTTCAGGTCTCATCGTTAATCAGCCAATCCTTCCAGGGGGGGGGGAGGAGAAAAAGAAAAGATACCCCCATGCTGAGCACACATCGTGTGTCACCCTAGAAGAAAACCTGTTTGTTCTCAAATTACGAATGACAAGACACATCCAGATATAATCAGAATGTGTTTCTTACATATGTAAAACTGCCTTAAGATCTATAGCTTATAAGCTAGTCATGCTTTTTTTTTGCACACTTTTAAATCTTTTCCCTTTAAACAGCTTCCCATTTCGTATCCAGCAACAGTTTCAGACACAGTCAACACTATCTGGAATTGAATCATCCTATCAGTGCCAAGCTAAGAATAATATGTTTAGGAAGGAGTCTTACAGTACAGCATCTAGGCCCCACTTTGTACCAAGGCAGCTTACAAAAAAAAACCCGTCTAAAATAACCATCATAAAATACTCCAGCAGTTAATACATAAAGAAGGCATTCTTCTTGACACTAGAGCAGATGCAAATGGCAATTAATGAAGATTAAGACCAATTCACCTTCTGTTTGCACCATCTTAACCTTTGAGAGCAGCACATTATTTATAACAGCTACAATTTTAGCCCCTCCCCAAATCTTACCCAAGGTTTCTGGAATGTTTCTCCGTTCTCTTGTGACATCTGATAACCTAATGATTGTTCCTTCTTTCCGTTCAGTTTTGAAGCGTAATCGACCAGACTCTTCATCATCATCTTCTTCTTCATCAGACTCTTCTTTAGATTCCTCTGGAAGTTCCAGATTTTCTATAACAGCCTGTAACATAATAGGACGTGAATGAATTACTAACCTGCCAATTTTCTTCGATGCAGAAGAGTTGGGTGAAGGCTAAAGAACATTATCAGGAGTGTAATTCACAGCACTGCATATGCAGCACGCTATGTGCAAAAGTCTCCTGAAGATCCAGCCATCTTAAAGGAGGTGATCATAAAGCCCAACTTGAATGTCCTCCCTAGACCAGAAGGTGATGTGAAAGAACTCTGCCCGAGACCCTGGAGAGCCGCTGCCAGTCTGAGTAGACAATACTGACTTAGATGGATCCAGAGTCTGATTCAGTATAAGGCAGTTTCATGTGTTCATGTGACCCAAATGATCTGTGGAATTATAAGGTAGTGGCAGACAACCTTTTCTGGGCAAACTCCTTGAATGCGTGCAGGATGGGCAGTTCTGTGCTTTCTTAGATGATTTTGGATTATCTTCCAGATCCATTTCTATTTAGCTTCTAACCTAGTTTTGGATTAAACCGCTTTAGTTGCCTTGAACGAGAGGCAGGAGTATGGCCTTGCTGCTACTTCTTGACCATGCAGCGGCTTTTGATTGTACTGTGGTACTACATTCTGATTAAGGTGGCCAAGATAGGAATCGAGAGCACTGCCCTCTGGTGGTTCCAGATCTAGATGTCCAATCAACAGCAGACAGGCGTGCTTCCCGGCAACTGCCAGACCACCGGCCACAAGGTTCCCTTCTCTCTCTCATACAGTTTAGCATCTATATGACACCACCGGGAGAGGTTATCCAAGGATTTGGAGATATTACCAACATGCTGGTAACATTCAGTTCTCTGTTTCACCTTTTCAGCCAAATCAGCTGAGACAGCTACAAAGTGAGGTGGCATACAGAATTATCCCCCTCTAAAGAAGGTAAAGGTTCCCTTGCTCGAAAGCCAGTTGAATACAACTCTAGGGTTGCGGTGCTCATCTCTGTTTCAAAGCCGAAGAGCCAGCGCTGTCCGAAGACGTTTCCGTGGTCATGTGGCCGGCGTGACTAAACCCCAAGGCGCACGGAACGCTGTTACCTTCCCACTGAAGTGGTACCTATTTATCTACTTGCAATTTCTTGCTTTCGAACTGCTAGGTTGGCAGGAGCTGGAACTAGAGACGGGAGCTCACTCCGTCATACGGCACACTCGAGTCTCAAACTGCTGAACTACCGACCTTCCACAGCCTGCAGTTCAGTTTCTTAACCACTTGAGCCACCGCAGCTCCTCTACAGTTTCACAAATTATTCCAGATTACCTACTTGGGTGGTATTTCTTCTTGAGCGACCTCTTTTCTAAAACTAGTTTTTAACAGAAGGCTACAGCACTTTTGATCGCGTAGGAACACACGGGCATTCCAAGCAATGATCAAAGAGGCTGGACACAAATGTTTCTGTTTTAAAACCTCCTCATGTTCTCCTGGCTCATCGTATCGCCTAGCCGGTCTCCTCCTCTTAATCTTGCCTGGAGTTATGTGCAGCCAGAAAGCTGCTTTTCTCTGCAACACAGAGTTGTTGCCCAGACTAAACCGGCAATTTCTGATTTCCACTTTCTGCTGCAGACCCCCTACTCCTCATGCCATTCCTCAGGGTCCCATAACTCCCCAAAGCAGCGTTTCAATAGAGCGGCTGGGCTACAGTGAGGGGAGAGAGGCAGGAAATCTCCATTCCACTGACGAAAAATGTACTCCGGATCCAACTCGGAAGAAGTAATGAAAGCCACACTCTGTTAGGTCTGTCCTATGTGGAAATAGGACAAAGTGTGCTACGAAGTGCAAAGGAAATAGGACAAAGTGTGCTATGAAGTGTTGCAATCTTATCAGGCAGAGCAACAGAGGAAGAAGAGGGTGGCTTGGCTTGTTCCAAGATACCGAAGCCATTGGTATAATGGGACTACAAGAATATCATTCAAGGTTATGCACCCTTGGGAGTTACGCAACCCAGTGCCGTGTTGTTCACAGGCTATGCTCTTACTATGGACTGTTCCGTTAGGAATGCTTGAACAAGACACGTTACTTACACTGCAATCCTAAATAGAATGACACCCTTTTAAAGCCCACTAAATTTAATGGACTTCGAATGGTGTAGCTCTGCTTAGGGTGGCACTGTGTAGCTTTAGCTGAATTACCTTCGAGACCCGGCAAAGGTTTTGTTTACAAAGAAAGCACAACTAGAATTCATTTTACACATCACCCCGATTCTATCCAACAGGTTTTATATGTCCCTCCTCCAAATTTTGTGCTTCGGCTTGCTTAATAAGGAAGCGCATGGTCATATCTTGTAAATTAACTATGCACATAACATGGAATTTAGTTTATAACGAGGCTATGATCTATATTTTTTTACTGTATGTACACAATGCTTTCTATGCGTTGCTGACTTGGTTGATTATGCCATTGCTGGCTGATCTATGATAGCTATAAAGCACGGAACGCTGTTACCTTCCCACTGAAGTGGTACCTATTTATCTACTTGCAATTTCTTGATTTCGAACTGCTAGGTTGGCAGGAGCTAGAACTAGAGACGGGAGCTCACTCTGTCATGCGGCACACTCGAGTCTCAAACTGCTGAACTACCGACCTTCCACAGCCTGCAGTTCAGTTTCTTAACCACTTGAGCCACCGCAGCTCCTCTACAGTTTCACAAATTATTCCAGATTACCTACTTGGGTGGTATTTCTTCTTGAGCGACCTCTTTTCTAAGACTAGTTTTTAACAGAAGGCTACAGCACTTTTGATCGCCTTGGAACACACGGGCATTCCAAGCAATGATCAAAGAGGCTGACAGCTCCTCTACAGTTTCACAAATTATTCCAGATTACCTACTTGGGTGGTATTTCTTCTTGAGCGACCTCTTTTCTAAGACTAGTTTTTAACAGAAGGCTACAGCACTTTTGATCGCCTTGGAACACACGGGCATTCCAAGCAATGATCAAAGAGGCTGGACACAAATGTTTCTGTTTTAAAACCTCCTCATGTTCTCCTGGCTCATCGTATCGCCTAGCCGGTCTCCTCCTCTTAATCTTGTCTGGAGTTATGTGCAGCCAGAAAGCTGCTTTTCTCTGCAACACAGAGTTGTTGCCCAGACTAAACCGGCAATTTCTGATTTCCACTTTCTGCTGCAGACCCCCTACTCCTCATGCCATTCCTCAGGGTCCCATAACTCCCCAAAGCAGCGTTTCAATAGAGCGGCTGGGCTACAGTGAGGGGAGAGAAGCAGGAAATCTCCATTCCACTGACGAAAAATGTACTCCGGATCCAACTCAGAAGAAGTAATGAAAGCCACACTCTGTTAGGTCTGTCCTATGTGGAAATAGGACAAAGTGTGCTACGAAGTGCAAAGGAAATAGGACAAAGTGTGCTATGAAGTGTTGCAATCTTATCAGGCAGAGCAACAGAGGAAGAAGAGGGTGGCCTGGCTTGTTCCAAGATACCGAAGCCATTGGTATAATGGGACTACAAGATTATCATTCAAGGTTATGCACCCTTGGGAGTTACGCAACCCAGTGCCGTGTTGTTCACAGGCTATGCTCTTACTATGGACTGTTCCGTTAGGAATGCTTGAACAAGACACGTTACTTACACTGCAATCCTAAATAGAATGACACCCTTTTAAAGCCCACTAAATTTAATGGACTTCGAATGGTGTAGCTCTGCTTAGGGTGGCACTGTGTAGCTTTAGCTGAATTACCTTCGAGACCCGGCAAAGGTTTTGTTTACAAAGAAAGCACAACTAGAATTCATTTTACACATCACCCCGATTCTATCCAACAGGTTTTATATGTCCCTCCTCCAAATTTTGTGCTTCGGCTTGCTTAATAAGGAAGCGCATGGTCATATCTTGTAAATTAACTATGCACATAACATGGAATTTAGTTTATAACGAGGCTATGATCTATATTTTTTTACTGTATGTACACAATGCTTTCTATGCGTTGCTGACTTGGTTGATTATGCCATTGGTGGCTGATCTATGATAGCTATAAAATTAAGTAATTTGTGTTATGCAGGAGGGGCTTTAAACATGCTTAAAACAGTGGTCCACCACTGGTTTTAAACACTGAGTGAATCAAAATGACTGAAGGAAACATTAACAAACCTGGGTGAGGAAGGGCTGTGTTTTCTTTCGAAAGGACATGGGGGGGGGGGATTGCCTACCTGTCACACAATCTAAGATAAAGCTCCAACTTCCCAGTTTAAAAGAACCTGAGAACTAGGATGAAGAGCCTTAAATCCAAAAGGTAATATAATCCTCTGCCTCAAATATTGGCAATGAAAGAGAAGAGTGGCAGCTGGTCTCGTCCAGAAGAGGAAAGGAAAAATAAATGCGTCAGACAAAAATGAACTTATTGCTCAGGTGATAATTGGTCTTCTCGTGGACAGCTGCCCTAAGTCACTCGAAAATTTCCTGTCTCCATCTCCTGGCATGACATCTGCTTAGCCAAAAGTCTTGAAGTGTCAAGTGTCGGAACTCTTGCACTATACAGTATGTGGCATTTTCATTAAAGGGTCTGGCCTGGCTTGAGACGGCAGGTTCCTTGCCTGTGTGGCTCTCTTGGCACGGAGAGGGAGGAAACAGTCCAGGAAAAGTGACGCTTCTACTGACAACTGTGCAGAAAACTGGCTTTATTGAGAACTGCTGGCTAAGAATGAAAAATATTTACCAAGCAGAAGATCAAAGATGCCTCTCAGATCCATTTCAAAGCTTTGGAGTGACTCAAAAAAGGTACTTGTGAACACGGTCCAAGATAGCAAATGTGCTAGATGAACCTCCTTTTTTTACGGTAGGTTCATGGCCAAGTGGGATTTTGAACCATTCCCCCAAGCCTGGCCTGATCATCTCCGTCCTCCTTTCAGGGACAAGTCAATTCCCACACAGACGCAAAAGGTAAAAATGCAACAAGGGTCTGGTAACATCATGCAGGATGGTATAGTAGTTGCATGTTAGCTATGCCAGTTTGGTGTAGTGGTTAAGAGTGGCAGACTCTAATCTGGAGAACTGGGTTTGATTCCCCACTCCTCCACACGCAGCCAGCTGGGTGACCTTGGGTCAGTCATAAGTTCTTTCAGAGTTGTTCACTCCTGAGCAGTTCTCTCAGAGCTCTCCCAGCCCCACCTACCTCACAGGGGGGTCTGTTGTGGGGAGAGGAAGGGAAGGAGATTGTAAGCATCTCTGAGACTCCGAGTGATGGGTATATATCCAACTCTTCTTCTTCATCTATAGCCTGACATGAAAAAAGTAAGTATTCTTTACCCTCAGCCATGCTGGAAGGCCAATTTGCAGGCATAGTGTATTCAGACAGAGTTTGTAAATGTGGATCCGGTCAGCTTGAGTCCTCAGAACATATTTTATTGGAGTGTGAAATCTGGTCTGGTTTGAGAGAAAGGTACTTGTCCTCCCTCTTAACAGATTACGTGAATTTACCATCTCAAAAAAATCTTACAGTTTTTCCTTGAAGATGATTGGAAAACTACCCTAGCAGTCACTAAATATTTAGCTGTGGTGATTGCCTGTAAGAGGGCTGGATATCAATATGTTCAAGGCCTTTGAGTCAAAAGAACAGCAAGATAAGAAGTGAAGCATTCAATCACTATGGAGTGCTACTTAACAGTTTTGAATTCTAAGTCAAGGAAAACAGATGTTTATTTTTCAAAGCAATTCCAGGTATTCAAGTAGCAAAACAAGAACAGCTTCAAATTTCCAGGTCCTGGGCATTTCCCCTTCTCTCTTACCACAAACTTAAACTTATAACACTAACTTATATCAACAACCCTAAAGATAACACTGGTAGGGTAAGGACGAAGAAAAACTGTTTGAGGCATTTAGCCACTGGTGTATAGCTGCAAGAACTGTGACCATCCCGACACACAGCTTGACACCACAAAAGAACATGTTTACGAAAGGAAGGCTAACACCAGGATGAACAGAAGAGGGTTTTTTTGTACTATTACACTTCAAAGATGCAATATCGGTGTCAGGTTTGCTCTTAATGTAACCGCACTGAGTGAATCAGTGTCAGGTTTGCCCTTAATGTAACTGCATAGTGAATTTCAGATTCTCTTGACATCCCACCCCGAAAGCAATATTCTCCTTCAGAATTTCTGCTCTTCAAAAATACCTCTTCCGGTTCATTTGGAGGAGTCTGGCTGTCAGCAACTTGTTCTAATTCTTCTTCAGCTACGTATTCTTCTTGCTCTTCCATTGCTTCCTGCTCACCATAGGACTGCATATAATCTTCATCCTAGAAAAAATTGCAGGTTCTTAGTCCCCCGTTCATTTATTAGGGACCACATACAGCTGTAGAACTCTTGATTTCTTAAGTGCAAAAGTAACCGAAAGCAGGCGGTGGGCTCATGCCTTCCTTCCACCCAACCTAAGAGGAGGAGAACCTTGCCTCCCCCAAAAAAGACCACCACTTGGTGCGGCAGAGATCTGTTCTGCAGAACACTTCTAAGGGGGGGGGGGGAGCTACTTTCTTCAGACTCGCCAATCTCACCCTTTAAACAAGAAAACAGTTTCAGCAGTTAACAGCTGCAAGGCTGGAAAAGAAGGACTGGCCCATTACGCACCCCTCAGCGACCCACTTAATAATAATTTTTATTGCAAATATTTTTGAGAGCTGTTACAACTGAAAGGCAGACTATAAATACATCACAACTCTCCCCCTTCTACCTCCATAAGCCATGTGGGACAATGCAGAACAGGAAAGGGAAGTGGGAATTTGCACATGGGCACACCATCCCGCAGCTCGCTGCCCATCTCTTAGGAGAGCAACATTACACTGGGTGCCCTGGGCCCAAGCAGCGTGTCCCAAACTTTACCACAGACATATAAGAGAAGGCTACAGCAACAACTAGTTTAGCTGAGTATAAGCCATTCCAATACATTCAGTCATCTTTTCACTCTGCAATCTGTGAGGTTAAGTCAGACACAACTAGTCATCAAACAAGTATGATATTTTCCCCTTTGCAACTGTTTCAACTGTGGGGATGGATGGATGGATGGATATGGTCAATTTAAGAGCTACCATAAACCGCTATAAAAATACTTTTGCCACTAATTTATCTAATTGTTCTTTGTTTTTCTCCAGCATTACAGGCAACCTAAAAATCCTAACAAACCCAACCAGCTGTCACAGTTAGACTGTACAAGACATAAAGTAAAATTAAATAGTTGTCCATTGACCTGCTAACACGCAATTTTTTTTCTTGTGAAATACACTGGTTATAGCTATGGTAACAAGCGTACTTTCAACTAAAGTCAAGGCGAGCTCCTCAGCAAGCCACTTAAATGGGAACAAATTATGCATATGACATTTTCTGAAGTAACCTCCAATCTCTTTATTCAGGTTTAGACAGTTCTCACTTACAAAAAAAAAGGATGAATGAGCAGGACATCAATCACTTTCAAATATTAGCACCTTAAAGATGTCTTTAGCAGGTCAATAATCTTTTCACCTTCGAAGGACTTTATCAGATTTTGTCTAAAGCCTGGATAAAAGCTTTTGCATTAAGTACTTCTAACAATTGGCTGTGCGTCTCCACCACACAAAGCTGTTTTCTTCCTTAAGGATACAATCCTCAAGGTCATGATTCTCAACTGCCTTCCAGAATGACAAAGGAGCATTACCTACAGCCAAACAAGCTGTCAACACAAACTTTGTCACAGCCTAGATAAAGAAACTGGCAGACAGTGATAATAGGTCTAATTTCCCCCCCATCCCTAGGGAGGTAAACAGATTTCAGATCAGTCTAAAAACCTAGACACGTGAAGCAATGTTATCTCAGAAAACACAATAGAAGGAAACTCACTGGAAATTCATCTAGCGGTTCATTGATTTCAAGATCTAGCACTTCGTCATTATAAATCCCTTCTTCTCCCTGGTCTTCACCATATTCTATTTGGTCTTCTGCTAGTTCGGCCTCTGGGCCTCCGTATTGCCCCTCTTCTGTGTACTCTTCCACGTATTCTTCGGGAACATCCGATTTGTCATAAGCCAGCTCGTCTTCCCCTTGTTCGTATTCTGAATCTTGTTCGGTGGATGGATCGTTCCCTCCCTCCGAGAGCTCAAAGGATGTAACCATGCCAGATGTAGCATTAAGACTAACAGCAACATCCTGGGCACTGCATTAGGATAAAATACAGAGGTTTGGATGAAATCAACAGATCTGCTACCCATTATTTTGTGGGCAGGGTCTGAGGAGCCTGTACACTGCCGGAAGCATTCACAGTTTTCTTCATTAGCCAGGAAAAAAAAGACAGGCCACGTGTCAACTTGACTTCATGCCACGAACACATAATGCATACTTATATCACAGCTTATCACCAGCTGCAGGCTATTTGAGCAGAGGGATCAAACCAACCAGATGGTCTAACAGGTTAGGTTGGCAAGAAGTTCTATACAGTAACTGAGCAAACTTGCTTTCAATTTTAATTCCCATTCTAACAAAAGAGGTGCAGCATGAGAACCGCTACTATAACATTAGCTTCTCTTTCTTTACTATATCAGATCTTAAGTTTTTATTTACAATTCATTGCTTTCTCCTTAGGATCTAATGCTTCTTTGAAGCATCTTTAAAGGATGAGTTTGAACAAACTTTACTGGAACCTGCATGGAGTTAGAAAGCTTACATTAATGCCAGCTGCCTAGAGTCTCCTATCCAGAACTGCACTAGCAACCAAAAGCTCAGCAGTTTCTGATTTGGTTAGCCAGCTAAAAAACCATGGCTACAGTAACTTTGGTTTAATCTACTTTGCTTTCCAAAGCAATAAGGAACAGCTCTCCAGTTTTCTTCGTTCTTTCTCCAATAACTATGGTACAGGGTATGGAGATGAACAAATCATATTTCGAAAAAAGCTGATTCCTAAGAAAAATTCAAAGTAGAAGATAAATTCTCAAATAGAGCTAACACAGCATTATAGAATGCATCTACAAATCCTACTACTCTCTTAACCCATTTAAACTTGGGCAGAAAAATGAATTTGTATTCAAAATATCACCGATAAAAGCTGCTTATTTTAAAATACTGCTTTTATATAGCTCTAGCACTTGTGCGTGGACACACCTCTGTTCAGGGTTAAAGTACATTACATTCACTGCTGTAGCATTCAAGTAAAATTCACATTCAAGGGACTGAACTAGAAACCCAGTTACTTTTATTTGGTTTTTAAAAAAACAAAACACAAACCTGAAATGTTGATCCTCTTCATTATCGCTCTGCAGAAGATCATCATTCAGTTCTTCATCTGACATATCTGACTGAGTCTAAATTTTAAATTACAGAAAAATCGTCCTTGAGATAACCCAATATATAAAGGTCTAAACAGAGTAGCAAAGATGGTTGTTTTTCAGGCTTGAGACATTTTTACAAGGTATTATCAATATCAATCAAGACATTATCAATACTGCTTTTGTTCTGAACATCAGTGCAACAAACGCCAATTCTGAAAAATCTATAAATCAGCTGGTTGAAGATTTCACAGCTCCTGAAAGAGAGGCTGCATTCAAATATCAAAGCAAGATGCAATTAAAGTTGGACACAAGCACAGTTCGCTGCTGTGCTCACATGTGCCCCTCCCCCCCACCTCCCACTTCCAGCGTACAGAACTTGAATGAACACTTCCCGGCTGGATGAAGCTCCAGTTCACCATGACATACAAATACAGGCACCTCAATGAATTGTTAGTCTGCGTACTCCAAACAAGTCAGTGTCGATTCTTGGCTTGTGTGGTATAAACAAGCCATTTAAGGTCGTAAATCCAGATGTCACAGAAAACTGGCGCTTGATCAAATGTGATATGTTTCCATGCTAGAAGAAGAAAGGAAGGTAGGAGGAGTGACAGGCATGCACAACTACAGCCGCAAACTGTGTTTGTGCCCAGGGTTTAAGTGCAGCTTGTGGTGACATCTGAATGCCACCTGAAATGTAACTTCTAATAGTGAGCCTTGGAAACAGGGGCCACATGGGGCTAGATCTAGTCAGATTTTTCACCCAATCTCACCAGACTCTTTATTACAGCACCATGTCACCTGACTCTTCTACCCAAGCATGCCCCAACTCCGTACAACCTCAAGTGTAGCCTTTTCTGGTGGTCAAAGGGGATGAGCATTCCATACTTTTTCACCAGCGGGAAATCTGGTTGGATCCAACCCATAGCCTCATTAGAACATACAAAATATGTACAATGTTTAGTCCCCATGAGATCCACTCCAGTGGCCCAGACAAACAGTAAGTATGACCACGGATAGGAACCAAGGACTCTTCTACACAGCAGGAAACCTGTTTCTGAGGGAACAAAGCTCCTCACTTAGTGGAAAAAAGAGCTACAGAAACTTATTTTTATATAACCACATATCTGAATATTTAAAACTGACTTCAACCTCCAAACCACTCTCTTGCTAACTCCAGCTAAGAAGACAAATTTGTTAAGCTCCCAACACTCCTACCGCGAACTAAGTTATGTGGCTTCTATGGAAGGGATCGCTGAATCTTCAGCAACAATGGCTCATATCTCAATGGCACACATTAAGAGTGATCAATAAAACATATGCACTTAGTACATTAAATCAGTATTGCTGGGCAGAAGGAAGTAGTAGTTAAATTGGCAGATGTAGACGCATGTTCCAGTTCTACCTTGTTAAACACCTTCATTGTAGAGGAAAACAAGCAGGAAAAGACCTGGAGACAGATAAAGATGCGAAGGAATGGATGAAAACTGGGGGGAAATGGGGGGAGTATCCCCCACAGGACACCCCCACCTTTTTCCAATGGAAGAACTGGGGAATTTAGCGGTGTAATAAAATACTCCTATGAAATAAAAGCACTTTATGAACCAACTTTTTACAACTGACCTTTTTCCCAGTCAGTAAATCTTCTCCTAGCAAGTCATCATCCAGTTCACTGCAAGAAAAAACAAAGACAAACACACTCTTGGGAATAAGCTCTTTCTGAAGGAAGGATTTTATATGTAATAGCAATACACTCTTGAAAAAGTTAAAGGAATCCTTCAGAAGGCATACAGTATAGTCTCAATTTAAGATAACAGGTAGGAACATAGAATAGAATACAGCACTCAACTTCCTCAAAAGATTAATTATGGGTACAATTTTTCATTTGCCAGCTATTCCTCAGTTTACATATAGAAATGTTCCAGGATTCCAATGACATTGTTAACTAAGTTCAACAAGATGGTAACTTCAGATTTTCTGAGGGGAGAGAATGCTTAAAATCTACGAGTTCATCAACATTGTTAGGAAGAAAGTATTTGTTAAAAGCCATATGGGGCTCTAACTGATTGCACTTTTAGATAGTTAATGCTCCTAAAGGCAGGGAAGAATTCAACTAAGAAACACAAGAAATAAAAAAAAGAAGCATACTCCAGTCTGATTGCAATTCATAGTCGCAACATTTGTACAGGAACCACTGCAGATACCACTAGGCATCGGGTCTCTTACTCCAGCCATTAACGACCAAACTCCAGCTGAGTATAAGAAAGCTGAGAAGGCTTGAGGGAGTAAATGCAGTAAGTCACTATTAGACAGAGTATTTTAGTCTTAAAAGTGGCCTCATATGACTTACCTACACCCACTGAGATCCTCATATACCTCGCAGGGGCTGCACTATCTTCTCAATCCCTACCAATTCTTAGCCATTTGTTTTCAAGACTACCATCTCTCCCTTCTCCAATACAACTCTGCATAATGGGCAGGAAATTAAGGTTCAGTCAAACAAGCATATCTTACTGGGAAGGAAGCACTTCAATGTGCTTCCAGATTGCCCATGCAAAGGAACACCTTGGGGTAGAGACCTGCAACAAGACACACTTCGGGCTGCATATGGCTCCAAAGCCCTCTACAGCTTTACCTGATACTGTCTTGTGCTATTTTCTGCAGTATATTATTTGTTTAAAACATTTCTATATCTTCACTGCAGGTACCTACACTCTCATCTGAACCTACCTCACAGGGTTGCTATAAGGATAAAGTGGAGGAGTAGAGACTGATATAAGGGGCACTGGGTCCCTCCTGGGTAGGCAGGGTACAAACGAAGGATGTACACAAGCATACACTTCATTAGCATCTAAATGTGTACTTTTTTAAACAAAGAAAACAAACTAGAGACAGCAGAATGGAATTCCAGAAAAAAAAACCTGATCATGAAATGTAGAGGTGTGCACTTGGTATAAACCGAGCCAAAACCCCTCCCATCCAGAAAATACCTTATCGATATTTTCCAGGTATTTTTCCAGCCAATTACCAAGTGGGCTACTGATTCAGCTATCCAAAAATAGCTGCCCCCCCAAAAAAAATCCCAAAAATATTCAGGATTTTTTGGGGGCCTTCCCTTTAAACACCTTTCAAGTAAACTTGCCGCTTCTGGAGTTCAGTCTCAGTGCGGCTTGCAAAAGGCATTTAAGGGGACTGCATTCCCTTTAAATGCCTTTCCCCCCTCCATTGAAAATAATGGAGGATGGGGGGACCTTCTTTTGTGGCTCACAGAATTGACCCCCTGGTTCACTCTTTTTGAAACTTGGGGGGGGGGGGGTTGACGAGAGGCACCAGCAGTCTCTAAAAAAACACCCCCAGATAAACCCCGATTGATTCTCCATTATAGCCTATGAGGAACACTGACTATAATGGTCCCCCTAGGGTATAATGGCGCCGAAGAAATTCAGCAATCCCGAATGTTTACCGAATCCAAATACCATGCCAATACTGAAATTTGGGGATATTGAGAAATACTGATTTATGCTCAAACCCCAAAAATACCCTAGTGAAATTCATTAACTTACCTGTCCCAGTCATCATCTCCAGCTCTCCTCCTCCAAGATCTTTCTGCACCAGGCTTATCAAATTGATCGAAGTCATCATCTATTAACAACATACATTTATTGACTTTTACAGTAAGAAAATGCACCAACTGTAATGCACCAACACATCTTGATGCTCATCAGAAATGGATTTTTGCCCAGCTTCCCCACAGCACTGTGGTGCATTTGTACAACTGGTAAGGTTTCCTTGGATTTTCTACCATCTTTCTACTCTGAAGTTTTGCAAGAAATTGCAGCAAAACATGGGCAGCTGCTGCATAGATAGAAACGTTTGGATGTTCCCGGTCCAACCCACAAAGCAGCCATTTTTCCCATAGTAGCTGTTTCCTCATCCTACTACAGAGTGTTTTCTTTTTTAACCAGAGATTTAATAGCATTCTATCAATATCCTGTTATACCAAAATACACTTCAAGCTCTCTGAATTCTTATGTTTCATTTTTTTTTTAAGTTCTAGCCCCTTTCCCTGCAGAGATATACGGGGTGAGGCATCCTCGATGAAATAGGCTACTTGCTTTTTAAAATGGAAGACAGGACCTCAGACAACCTGATGCATATTTTAGTATAACAGTGTATTGATATAATGCTATTAAATCACAGATTTAAAAAAAGCTACCTGGGAAGCCCCATCGCCCCTCCCAATATCTGCAGCCATAGCAGCAACAGGGAAATTACACAAGCCTGACTTTGGGTGACTGCATGCTAGACCTTAAATCCTGGTTCAAGCCTGTCCCCAAACTTACATACTACACTACACTCGAGTTCACCCCTGTAATTATCTTGGGGTATTTTTTTTGTTTCCACATTACATTGAGGTCACCCCGGTTTTGTCCCACACTTGTCCTGGTATAAACGGACGCTGTTATAACCAGCAATAAATGCAAGGTATTGTGTCATGAGTTGAACTCTGATAAAACCAGGGATGAGATCCAAGTGTGGAAAGGACCCTTGTGTGGAAAACACCTTTCCCTTCTTTCTGCGTTTCTGCTTTGCAATGCTCCTTCACAAGAATAAGGCAACTCTGCTGTTCTTTAAACCTTTTAAGAAACTACAAATGAATAAAACATTTTACATGTAGACTTTGTTTCAATCCAAACAGCAATACAATTAGCAGTAAAAGCAAAAAAAGGCAGTGCACTGTTTACCGAAAGTAACATATAGCTCAAAAATGAAGGATGCACTAGCTGCTGAATTTCTGAGGACTGCTACACTTCAGTTGCTGTTTACATATTCTATTTCAATAATCTAAAACAATGAGGCAGAATCAAATACAGAACTCCTGACATACCCATGAACAGAGTCTAACATATAGCACAGGCTTGTCAATAGCCACTTGGCTGGTCCATCTTCAGGTGAACTTTACAAAATTGCTTCTTTTAAGCCATCATTGCCACAAATGACTAAGATAAGCACATTCAACAAGGCAACTAACTTTTGGAAAACTTTCCACAGACTGGAAACATTCAAGCTACATTCCAGTTCTGAAAAAGGAGATACCAAAGACTGCGGCAACTACTGGACCATCACATACATTTTTATTCAACAGAAGTGATGTACAAAATTTTAAAAAGACTTTTGCAATATACAGAATGAGAAAGCCCAGATGTTCACACTAAATTCAGAAAAGGAAGAGGCACTAGAGATTATATTGCTAATTTATGTTGGTTATTGGAGGATACCAGAGAATTTCAGAAGAAAATGAGTTGATGTTTTACAGATTACAGCAAATCTTTTGACCGTGTGGATCAGTGAAAACATGAATGGTCTTAAAAGAAATGGGAATGACACAACATGTGATTGTTCTGATGTGCAACCTATACTCTGGATTAGAGTCTACTGTTCAGTCAGAATATGGAGAAATAGGAGGCGGGGTTTACAGCGCAACTATGGCGGACACCTTTCCCGAGGCTCAGGGAGGGCGCTCCATACAGCAGCGGAGGGGAGGGGTGCCGCTGGATCGGCACCTCCATGGGGGGTTAGGGAGGCCCCACAGGCCATAGGGCTTTTGAGGGTGAGCCTCTTTTCCTGCTATCTGCAGGGAAATTGAGGCTGCCCTCCTCCCTGATGGTCCTCCCTGCTGTCTGCGTCCTCTTAGCGAGGCACAAGATGTGCCGACCCAGTCAAGCGCAGGAGATCTGGCGAAGGAGCGATTATGAGCATGGTCAAGAAATAATGAACTGTGAGTTAAAATGAGCGAACCGTAAACAGAAGCATAAATCCCCCCCCCCCGAAACCTTTCGAGCGATTGGAATCCTGCTGAGAGGGGGACACCTCTCGGACACATTTACATAAGCAGAGGAGGGAAGAGAGAGAGACACACACACAGAATTGTAAACAGATACTTTGAAGCGAAAATCCCCCCCCCAAACCTCTTGAGTGACTGGAATCGTGCTGAGAGAGGGAGGCTTCTCTGACGCATTTACATAAGCAGAGGAGGGAGGGGAGAGAGAAAGAGACAATTTTAAACGGATACTCGGAAGTAAAAAGTTGTGGGAGATATCCATGAGTATTTAAGCGATTAAACAGCGTGTAAGCGATTTTCAGAGCCAGGGAGAAAACGATTTTATATTGGAATTAAAGTGTAAAAATGGTGGAAGTCAGTGAAAACAACTCCGAGAAGAAGGGAAGTGAAAGTTATAGAACTCATAGCAGAAGCCACCAAGCCGATTCTTGAGCAACTTGTTGGTATTAACCATCAGCTTGCCAAGATAAATCAACAACTCGTGTCCCGGCAGCTGCAGTTGGCAACAATAGCAGAAAAGATGGGGCTGTCAAGGCAAAAGAGATGGACACTAAAACTAACAGCGATCTCAAAGAGACAAGGAGGGAAAGCATGAGAGAAACAGAAAGATTTACAAGGACTTAACTCCTTCCCTGCAGATGTTTTTAGAAAGTGTCATCTTAAATTTGGCTGATAGAAAAGAGTTTGAACCTGACCTCAAGATCAAGAAGCCTGTGAGATGCCACTGGGCCCTGAGGATGAGACTAAGAAGGAAGAGGCTTAAGATTGGTGGTTTTATCCCTTTGGAGACGGAGGAGGGTTGCAGAATTTCAAGTGAATGTCTAAGAAGCAATCAAGACTTTAAAGAGAATTAGCATAGATGTAAAGGCGGAAGGACTCTAAAAATTGCCCTTACGAAGAGAGCTGGAGGAGATGCTCTGGAAATCTTCTCATAATAAGTAATAAACTAACACATAAGCTTAGAAAGACAGGATCTCACAAAGTATATTGTTTATTAAGTTTTTTTTTCATTACTAACTGCAGTTTAACAGGGTAATGATCTCCTACTCTTGGGTTTTTAGTTTAGTGTGGGTTCCTTTTCTTTCTCCTTCGTTGCAGTCCCCCTTCCTTTCTTTTCTTTGTAGTTTATGTAGTATTATAAAAAATAAAAAAATCCCCTCCAGGGGTCTTAAAAATAAAAAGAATATGGAGAAATAGAATGGCTTCCAATTGGAAAAGGTATCAGACAAGGACATATTTTATCTCCCAGTCTGTTCAATCTAGATGCACAACATATCATAAGGAAAACTGATTTAGAAAAAACTGGAGAGAAAATTGGTGGAAGGAACATTAACAATTTGAGATACACAGAAGATACCACATTACTTTCAAAATCAGTAGAGACTTGAAATGACTACTTATGACAGTTAAAGAAAATGCCAAAGCAGGATTACATCAAGATCATCAAGAAAATCAGGAACATAAAAGTAATAATAACTACTGAGGATTTAAACAACTTCAAGGTTGACTGTGAAGACACTGAAATTAAGGAGTTTCTATTCCATGGCTCAGTCAACCTAAATGGAGACTGCAACCATAAAATCAGAAGGAGATCAAGACCAGGAAGGGCAGCCATAAAGATCATTAAGTGTTACTGGAGATGAAGATCCAAATAATTCATACTATAGCACTCCCTATTAATATTTATGGACATGAAAAGTTGGGAATGAAGACATCTGATAGGAAGAAAACAAATGTGATGTTGGGAGAAAGTTTTATTGATACCATGCATCTCCAAAAAGATAATTAAGTGGGTTCTTCATCAAATCTTGCTTGAATTTCTCCCTAGAAACTAATTTTGGTCACATCATTGGTAGACAAGAGTCACTGGGAAAATATAATATTGCAAGGAAAAGTTTTAGACAATAGGAAAAGAAGACCTAACGCAAAACTGATTGACTCCATAAAGGAAGCCACAGGTTTCAGCTCGTAAGACTCAAGCAAGGCTGTCAGTGATAGGTCATTAATTCACAGGGTCACCATAAGTCAGAAGCAACTTAACACATTAACACAGGAGATGTTTCAGTGTTGTTCTCAAAACTAAGGACTAAAAAAATCTAAGGTATACTTAAGTCATCTTGGTTTCTGTCAATACACTTAACTTATACTTAATTTTCCCAGAGCTTTCGCTCACCAGCTATGTTACTTGATATCCTAACACTGTGACAGATCAACATGCACAACATTAAACACAAATTAAGCCTAATCTGTATTAATACCAAAGCGAGACAGCAGCCTGTTAAGTGGCAGAACAAGCATTTCCTACTCAAATTCTGCCCATTCATAGTTTTCGATAACTCTTCCCTTCCTTCCTCCTGTGAAAGGTGTTCCACACACAAACAGGAGTTGAAAAGAAGAAAGACTGTTCTCAGCCCCCTGCAAACAAGAAGTTGGAGTCTAAGGGCTCCCCTGCCTCCTTTGCTTGTGGGCTGCAGAAATCCCCTTCTGCTCTTTTACAGCAAAAGCAAGCCCAAAGACCTCATTTCTCAGAAGGAGAGCATGAAAACGGGGCACAGAAGCAACCATTCTTGCACCACCATCTCATTGTATGGCCAAGGGAGGGTCAACATATTAAAACCCTGCATGTGATTTTTTCGGCTAGGCCTACTATACAGGGTTGCAATTGTAAGGTTAAAATAGAGGAAGGAAGGACAATCTTGTAAGCTGCTTCAGATCTCCAGCAGGGAGAAAAGCAGGATGCAAGTTCTGTGTATGGTCTGCTTTACATATGTGAACATCTGGGGGGAACCAAACAAAACTG